CTGCCGGAGTGGGTCTGCTGTGACGGGTCTCCCGCCAGAGGACTGCCCCGCCTCCCGGCAGCCACCGCCTCTTCCTGGGACAGAAAGTTTTGGTTTCAAAATTAGTTACCACTTCTCCATCAGAAGAGACTGTGACCAAAGTTACAGAAAGGAAGACAGCCAGACATGGTGTGACTCAGAATAAAAGAACATACACGCTCGCACACACATGCACGCACGCACACACATGCACACATATGCGCGCGCACACACGCACACACATCTGGTCAAGCACTTAGAATCAGTGGTTCTCAACCTTCCTAATGCCGCGACCCTTTAGTACTGTTCCTCATGTTGTGGTGACCCCCAATTTCATTGTTACAAATTGAACATAATGAAAGCATAGTGATTAATCACAAGAACAATATGTAATTATATATGTGTTTTCTTAGGCGACCCCTGTGAAAGGGTCGTTCTACCCCCAAAGGGGTCGCGACCCACAGGTTGAGAACCGCTGACTTAGATCCAGCAGCTAACGTGCAGGAAATAGGACAGGGGCGAAGGTTAAATTAACCACAGGGATGCCGTCAGCAAGATCCTGACTGTGGGGACCTCTATAGGTTCTTTAATAAATAAAATGCAAGGCCGGGGGTGGGGTGGGGATAAAAGAGGGGGGACCTGTATATTAAAAGGGACTTAAACGACCTATCAACCAGTTGCAATGCACTGACCTTATTTTGATCAAATGGTCAAAGTGTGTTTTTTTAAACCGACAGGAGATAATTTAATTCAAATGTTGCTTGGATACGTGGCAGTATTAAGAAATTGCTGTTCATTTCTTTTAGTGTGATAATAGTATTATGGTTCTAGTTGTTTTTAAGTCTATATCTTTTAGCGGTTCATACCAGGGGAATCAACCTCACTAAACTAAAAACAAACCAATAAATTGTGGCACAGTCCTCCCTCAGTATCCTGAGAGGTTGGTTCCAGGACCCCTTGGGATACTGTACACTCAAGCCCCATATATAAAATGGTATAGTATTTGCACATAACCTACATAATCCTCCTGTATACGTAACTCATCTCCAGATTACTTAACATGCCTAATCCAATGCTATGTAACTAGTTGTTACACTGTATTGTTTAAGGAATAATCACCAGAAAAAAATGTACATGTTCAGTCAGTAAAAAGTATTAAAATACTTATTTTCAAGTATTTTTAATCCTTGATTGGTTGAATCCGAAGGAGTGGAACCTGTGGGTACGCAGGGCTGACTATACATGCAATTAACCATACAGTGTTGTACTATACCACCAGTCAAAAGAATGAGGAAGTTCTTTATGTATCAATATGAATTAACCTCCAAAATGTACTATTAAATGCAAAACACCAGGTTTGGGGGTGTGTGTATGTATAATACACATATATGTTTCCTTGCATATGCATGAAATATGTTTAGAAAGACACCCCAAAATGATTACATTGTAGGAGAGTAAGTGGGAGTCTAAGGGCAAAGGTTGGGAGGGAATGTTGTTTTTTGTTTTTAAATTGCTTTTTAAAAATATATTTTTTTAATTGATTTCAGGGAGGAAGGGAGAGGAAGATAGAAACATCAATGGTGAGCAAGAATCATGGATCAGCTGCCTCCTTACACCCCCCCCCCCCCCCCCCCCCCCGGGAATCGAGCCCACAACCAAGGCATGTGCCCTTGACTGGAATCGAACCTGGGACCCTTCAGTCTGCAGGCCGACGCTCTATCCACTGAGCAACACCAACCAGGGCAGAAGGGAATGTTTTTATTTACACCTACCTCCCTTTTCCTTACCTTTTACATTTGAATGGAATGTGGATTTTGACATTCTGAAGAGAAGGAAAAGGATTTGGCTCTAGCATTCCTGTGTGGATTGACAAATATTTTGATGACACAGGCATATTTAGTTAGGAATTTTACAAGTTCTGCCTGGCCGGCACAGCTCAGTGATTAAGCCTCCACCTATGAAGCAGGAGGTCACCATTTGATTCCCGGTCAGGGCAAATGCTCGGGTTGCAGGCTCGATCCCCAGTGTGGGGCGTTGCAGGAGGCAGCCGATCCATGATTCTCTCTCATCTTTGAGGTTGTTGCCTCTCTCTCCCTCTCCCTTCTTCTCTGAAATCAATCAAAATACTTCTAAAGAAGTTCTTAATGTGTTATCTAGGTTTCACACCTCTTCCTTATTCTTGCCAGGTGATTTGTCGTTGGGCCATCATACCAGTTATTCTAGAAAGACGCTGCTACCCAATCTGCTGTGAAAAGCTAAGGTGAGTCCCAGTAGTTCAGGATGCCAATAGGAAATTGCAAGTGAGGTAAGCAGATCATACTCCTGCAATCAAGGTGTCCTTCCGTGCACATTTTTCGTTTTCCAATTGTTTGTTTGAAAATGATAATATTGGTAAAGGTCCTTGGGTTTCCTAACGACGTGAACGTATTGTGTAGGATATGGAACTAAAGGTTCCACCCTCATCTACCTTCTGCAGACTGGGGCGGCTGCTGCAACCTTTCTCTTCCTGCTGCTGTGATGTCCTGGTGACTGGAATGAAGAGGTGGTGCTGGGACAACCGGTCCCACTTGTGTCACCCTCACCCTGCAGCACAAAGTCCTCTGTGACCTCTTTTCTGAACATCTACATTCTAGACCAGTGGTTCTCAACCTTCCTACTGCCGTGACCCTTTAATACAGGTCCTCATGTTGTGGTGACCCCCAATTTCATTGTTACAAATTGAACATAATTAAAGCATAGTGATGAATCACAAAAACAATATGTCATTATAGATGTGGTGTCCGATGGTCTTCGGCGACCCCTGTGAAAGGGTCGTTCGACCCCCAAAGGGGTCGCGACCCACAGGTTGAGAACCACTGTCTAGACAAAGTGGGTCAAGCACGTATCCAAGCTCTTCCTGCGCATTTTGTTCTGAGCCATTTCTTTACCAGTCCCTTCTTTACACAAGGGGGTGAGATTAATGTGTGTGATTGCATTGCATTGAAATTTGGAATCGTTTTGGAGCTGGAAGGAATTTTGAAAAGAGAACCAGTATTCTTCCTGGCAGAGAAAAAAAAAAATTAGTGGTCATGAATTTTGTACTGATTGGCAGCATAGATAAAGCGACTGTGGACCAGTGAGGGCTTCAGGCCACATCCGCTAGGACTGCCTCCTCCTTAAGGTCACAGGTTCTAGAAGCCCTCACAATACTTGCTACCTGTATGCCTCGGGTGGAAGGAACCATTGCCTCCTCCACGCCCAGCCTTTTCCAGATGTTAAGTTCTGTAGGTTACTCTTAACATGAAGGATTTGGACACTGATCACTTCTAGTGGATATATAGGGTGCTCATCTATATATTATTCCTAAGTTTGGAATTGATGTAATCTAGTTTCGTAGCTCCCAGCTATTGTGGAATTTAGTGTAGTGGATGTAGCAGGAAGTACAGCAGCTTTGGGGGCAGGTAGGTCTGGCATCGTGGACATGTTGCTTAACCCAAATTTAAACTCCCTTGCATAGAGAAAAACCCACTTCATAGAGCAGCTGTGAGGACTCAGGTCACATGTAAACCCCCACACAACTGCTTCAAGAGGAGGCAGCTAGCTGTTCCCATGGCACTTGTGCAAAGTGGAGCTCCACAACCCTTTGCGCACGAAATACAAAGAAAACAGGCAGCGCTGGTAACAACACCTTTATTTCCGTACCCTGTTGTGTGACTGGGAGGTGTTTTTCACTTTCCAATGATTGAATTCGGTTATAACAATGAAAATTCCAGAAGGTAAACGGGTCATTTATTGCTGCTCATGAGCATAAGTAAACAGACATGGTACCACATGAAGGAGTTTCGAACACTTCTAGACTCTTGGTCTAAGTTTTGAATATGGACCGCTATACTTTGGCCGTGGACCTAACAGATTATCAATATGCTTCCAAACCCCATCAATTCACTTCAGACACAACAGGAAAAGCTAGGATTTTTTTTTTTTTTCAGAAATTGAACAGGATTTTAGGGAGCTGACAAAGGCCAACAAGACTTGAGCCTATCATATTTATCATGATTATACGTATATTGCTATTAAAAATAAAATCAGGGTACACAGCAACCAACTAATTGCTAGTTTCATTTTGTAGATCGCTTTAGCATCTTTGAAAAATAATTTGCTTTAGAATTAGAGGCTATAGGATTTTGTTACATTTAAGTGGTTTTAACTTACTAATCTTTTGTGGACTAGTTAATTCAGAGAGATCCCAAGCCAAAGAATTGGATGGCCTATCGAATTGGATTTTGTACTAGAAACAGCTGTTTGCAAGAGTCTGCATTATATAGGACCTTTCCTTTCAGAATGTCTTTTATTCCTGGCTTCAAATCTTACTATCAGCATATGACACTTGTAGACAGTTTGATTAAGTGTTAACAAACTGGTACTCATGCCTAGAGCAGGATATAAAAACGTGCTGATCACCAAGTATGAGATTTTACATTACATTAAATTAAAATTATACACTGGTGGACACCAATAAGATAGGGAGTTCCTAGATCCTAGAAAATATTATGGCTAAGGAAATAGAGAACTCAAAAAAGGGAATCACGTCCAAGAAACTGATTCAGTATAGTAAAATAGAACTGAGTGCCCTGTCTTAGGAAAAAGTTTATTAATAATAAGGGACAACTGGGACATCATACATCATTTCTTTGGAGCTTAAAGTGCAGGCTATGAAATGGCATAGAAAATAATGCATAAAATAGTGCAATCTTAAGGTGCCATTGTTTTTATTATACATAGCCTATGTTTACATGTCCATTTTCTCTCAAAATCCAGCTGTCGTGACACCTTTTAGCTTATTTATTTAGGCATTATTTATACCTTTACCCACCTTTGGGGCTACATAGAATATCTTAACATTTTAACAAGTAGAATAGAGCGTACATCTCGGAACTACTAAACAGAGATTAAGGCAAGCCCCTATAAAGTTCAACACTCCAAAAAACATGGTTTACAAAAAGAAGTTGCTTCCAAAACCAGTGGCTTCAGACTGCATGGCACCCCAGTCATTTTTAAAGCACGATTACTCTGCATACACTCATGTTTGCCCAAAAGAGCAGCTTAAAAAAACAGCAGGTTCTCTAACCTCAGGTTCCGAAAGAACTCATGTTTCAGCCCATGTGGAAACCAAGTCCATGCAGGAGATAAGCCAGGGACCCTGTGGGGGGCAGTCTTCTTTTTCTCTTCTGTATGCCTTTTCACCTTGGATCTGTCTGTACTCTTGTACCATAATCACCTTGTAAGTGGGAATGACCCATTAAAATAGAGACATCTCCTCTGAAAACCAGCCAAGGGAGATGACAAGAATATTTCATGAAATGTTGTTCTAGGACATTAACATTGCGGCATTTACATTATTGACGTAGGATCCAGGCAGGATGGTTCTCTCTCTGGGAGGCTAGTTTACAATTTACCTACAACATACGTGTTTAAGCTGATCAAAAGGATTTGTGATTTGTTGAACCTTAAATACCATTATGCTATCCAAAAGCAAGTATAAAAACTACCAAATCGGTCAAGACAATACCATAACATGTTTTAACTAGATGTCCTAAGTAAGATTTAAGACTTAAACAAACAACAGAACTGTAGTGTTTTATTCTCCGACTCTTATGGAACATTCATGCATTAACAATCGCAACTCATTAATCTTACGGACAGGTGATTACAAGTGTACACTGTAGAAATTTGGATTTCAAAACAAAATCTACCTTCTAATGTGTAAAAGCTTGTAATGAAAGCCAAATACTCGTGTTTGCTAATGGAAGACTACAGATACATTTAGGGTATCTAGATCGTTTCTAAAGAAACCCAGGCAACTTGAAAGAATTCATTAACAACTATTAAAAGAAACCATCTGAGGTTATATCCCTTTGATGCATAAGAATCATACTTTGTAAACCTGTAAACATGTACTTTGTTACTTAAAAAAGTCTTCCTATTACCAGGAAAGCAGACTATTAAAGGCCATGAATATTCCAGTAGGCCTCTTCCAAAGTTATGACAATATGGCTAAATCCTATGATTACAAAAAATGAGACCTGCTGAGGAAATGAGTTCCAGACAGGGACTTTTACAGATGACCTTGGCTGACAAACCTTTTTTGGAAATTGTTTATTTTAAAATTACCTTCCCAATAAACCATGAAACACTTGGAAGTTATTTTATGGTTTTTTCATTGAAAACATACTATGTCGTAAATGGAGTTTCAAAGTTAGACATAGAATTGATCAAAATCTAAGGACAATACTATGTAAGGACAATATAAAAAATGGGTCAGAAAAAATTCCATTTGGTGAGGTTAATCTGAAGGATGCAGAACCATGTCATGTTGGACGGATAAAAAAAGGTGACAACTTTGTGCTTTTATTCAACTAAGGTACTTACCAAAACCTTAGGTTTTATATACAGGTACTAATTCCCACCTGGAAAGGGACAGTTTTCTACATTACACCTAAATTTATTTTAAATAACTGAAGCCCAGGGCAACAGTTGTTTAAAACAACAGTCAAATAATGACATAACTTAGTACATTAAAATAAAACTAGAACAGTAACATCTGAATGTCTCAAAAATATACAACTGGGGAAAATAACCACTGTGCACAATTTGGAGGCTGTTAAAGTGACCACTTAGAAGGCTGAACAGTGCAAGACATGCTTTTCCAGTTACAAGCTCAACACAGGAGTGCAAACAAAATTAAAGCTTTTGTTTAAAGTTGAGGACAAGGAAAGCTTGAAATTAATATTAAAAAGCTTCCCTCCGGTTATCCCCCAGAAATGAAATGATCAAAATGCTTTTTCGTAGTACAGTGTTCTTCAATGAACTTTCTTTCAATGGCAAAACTGCATCCCACAGGTTGGGTCCCCTACTCACCCCACTGGTCATCACACTTGATCAAGGAGCACACACAGTGGTGAGTAAGGAAAGTACTAGTAACCAGAGGTCTGATATCGATAGAGAGAGCCTTGGATTTGGGGTTCTGCCTTAGCCAGTGTACCTGGACCCTACAGAGAACAGATAAAGCAATGGGCTTTAATGCTCCATTGTTCCTGTAAAACTGGAGGACAAATGGACTCACAACCCCCTCCCCCAGAGGCCAGCTGTTGTGGTGGACGATGTTAAGTGCTTAAATTAACTCAGCCGCTGCTCTAACAAGTGGAGAAGTATAGAGGTTCAAGATCAATACCAGTGCAAGAGCTTTTTAAGTGAGTTGCCTAGGCAATGCATGCATCCATCCATGCAAACGTACGACGTGGCCCCAAAGAGAACTGAAAACATGATATAACTGCATAAGTCCCTTGCCAGTAGTTTATAAAAATATATAGTCAATACTGTAGAGGCCCCTTCTACAGTCAATACTATGGAAGTCCGTTTCAGTTACCCATTACTTCAATACCAAAAAGCATTTACTACTTTTCAGACATTCCAGACAAAGGTCACTTATAACAAAAAGTCAATTTTTTTTAAAACAAGATACTGTCCATTTAAAAAGTAGGTCTTTTCTTTCAAGTGAACAGGACATTTTCTGTATTAAACTTCTAGTCTGTCAAGACTGGTTTAGATCCTTAAGTAATGTGCATATATGCAGAAACAAATTAACTTACTTTAAACATGAGCTGCACAGAAAAAAAGTTAACTCCTCAAAACATGATAGAATAGGTCTGGTTAGTACAAATCTATTGCAAAGTAAAAAGGTTCTGTGCGTCAGTTCAACCAGGAGAAGCGGGGAAAGAATGTCCCAATCACGAGAGTTCAAGTTGAAGTTGTGTTCTGAGCGCCTAGAAGCCTAGGGGACGCCACGTTGCTCACGGTGTCCTGATATGCATGACTGCTCAAGCGACTAAGCCAGGCCTCCCTCTGGAGCCCAGAGCTCGTTCCCATTCACTTTCTGCTCCGGAGACGTTTGGACTTCCTAAGGGAGTCTATGGCTTCTGCTGCCTTTTTCCGTTTCCGGGGAGACTCTTCACTCTGCCCAGACCCTGAGGGGTTTCCTACTGCGCTTTCCATGACTTCCCGCAGTTTGCGCTCCAGCTCCGCCAGCCGTGCGTTCTGTTCACCTATGATCTGGGTCTGCTCTAGCAGTTTCTGGTCCTGGTCCTGAAGCTGTTTCTGTTGCTCTTGCACTTTGGTGCGGAGCTCAGAAATTTCACGCCTGAGAACAGTCACACCAGCACCATTTGTCTTAACCTGCTGCTGGAGTTTGGTAACCTCTTGTCTTGAAGGGTTTTGCTTGGAGAGGAGCTGCATTGTTGTTAGGGCTGCAGAAGGTCCTGGAACTGTTGGGAAAATAGTTTAAAACAGCCAGTTAGTCACTTAAAATGTCACTCTACCAGTAATACTTCATTAATTAAGCTTATTTTGAAATGGAATGTCCTTCTACCACTTCTGATCATTTCTTCTTTGCAATCTACTTTGTCTACTGGATTACTCCACTCAGACACCTGGTTTTAACTACAAATGAGTCTGAATTCTGATTCTCGTGTTCATGTGGCAAAGTGTGGATTGCCAGCATGGAGGAGGACATTTAATGGCATAAACTTGGATTTAAAATACTATAAATCACTTTTGGACCTAGTAAGAAAATAACATTTCTATCTTATTTTACCGAGACCAACATAAACATTGGAGTCAGACGTAGACCTATCATGTTCTTAAATTCTCGCTGCACTTAGTTACATACAAAAGCCCCAACTTTAAGGACAAATGGACACCACTCCTGACGATCATGGAGACTTTCTGACACGTGCAGGAAGGCTCTGGCACTGTTCTGTTAGGAATAATACAATGTCACATGGACATAAAAATCACTATTTTAAACTAATAACCTATTTTAAAAAACAACAACCACCTTTTCTCCTGAAGGTTTTCTAAAAGGACCAGAGGGATCCGTTCATGCCCTAACCCCATGCTAATTTTCTCCTTGTCCATTTAAATACCAGAATCTTTTCCTTCTCTCTCTGTTTATCCAACTTCCACTCATCCATCAGCACTCAGGTCAATTTTACCTCTTGTGAGGTCTTATCAGTCCAGCCAACAATGATCTGATCTTCCGTAAGATTCTGTCTCTGCTACTCATTTGGCATTTAAATGGACACTCCTGTAAAATATTTCTGTTGCCTACGATAATTGAACTTTGGGCCTGGATATGTCTTACCTTTTGAAATAGTAAGATCCTTGAGGGCAGACACCACGTATTACACTTCTTTTTAGTCTCCACAGGACACAGTACAGTGCTGTGCGCATAATAAGTACTCAATAAATAACAGGTATATTATTAATGCTGAGATGCCATAGGCTTTATAATTAAATTACAGAGAGGCACTCAGTTACCCCCGCTGAGTAAGTACTCCAGGGAGCTAACTACCCGAACAAAATGTTTTGCCAAAGTTTTAAGGACTGAGACTACTGAGCAATTTAGTCCTTCAGTAGATAAGGGCACAAGTCTCTAGGCTCGTGTCCTTCTGTGAAACAGCCACCACAGAAGTGGCAGTGTTCACAATAGCCTATGCACCCTGTCTTTTGAAGTAGCAACCAGACACCCTGAGGGCTGAAATAATTAACTGGATATTTCCAGGAAGAATTTTATCTGGTATTTTTAATTGTTTTAGGATAATGAATATTAACTAGTCAGAAACATCAAAAAATATGCCTATGGAATCTACATATATATACCTACATATAGTTTTTCACTGAGAAATTTTACTATAATAAATTTACTTTGGGTCCATAGGAATGGATATGTATGAAAATTTAGCCACAAGACTGTTGTTTAGAGTGTAGTTTCAATACTGAAAAACTAGAGACAAGTGTGCGTACGGCAGTGGATCAGTCACGTAAGGGATGGTCTATAACCAATTTGTCGTTAAAAATGATGGTGCAGATACTTATTTACAGACACAGGAAAGTTCAGATATATGATCAAACAAGGAAAAGAGCAGCTTATCTCATCTACATAGAACATGACACACTGAACACAGTCAAGTCAAGAGGTACCTGGAGGCGAGCCCATGAGTCTCCCGGACACATCTGACCCTGGTAGTTTCCTCTTCAGAATGGGAACAATCTTTTCATCAAAGTACTCCATTGCCATGGAGGAAATGTCCCTCAGCTCCTGAAGCACCTCGTGAGCTCGCTGAGGGGCTCTGGTAGAATTGACATATCTCAACACACGGTAAATCTCATCAATAACCTGAAACAATGAGCTCTCATTAGCACGTTCGAGACATATATATGAAAACAGTTAAACAGGGAGAGAAGTGACTGCGTGTCTGCAATTCCTGTAAAAATCTGTAGGATGATTTAACTGATGTACTGGCCATTGATAATATTACCATCTGGAACACACGGCTTTGGCCTTGTTAGAATACTTTATATGTTTCATACTTACATTTAATAAGTACCAGGCACTGTGGGGGGCTAAAGAATCAGGATGAATATAGCTCCTGCCCTGAAGAAAATCACAGTATAACTGGGAAGACATGTATAAATAAGTGCCACAAAGAGGGACATACACATGCTAAAAACTAGAGGACTAAACTAAGACATGAAATCCTGTGTGCAAGCAGGGGTTCTGCTAATCCTCCAAACCCACTTCACTCTAGCCCGAATGTGTCTCCCGGAGCCCCAGGAACCCCGCCTGACCTCCTCCTCTCGTCTACACTGCCACCGTGCTCTGTCCCTGGAGGTTTTGTTCTCTAAAACTTGCTATGGATTAGAATGAGGTCTCCTCAGATCCCACTTGCTTGCTGTCACCAAAGGGTAGCAAGAGAACCTTTTTCATTCCATGGTAACTGCGATGGGGAGACATTAGCATACAGGCATAGTATACAGGGAGAAGAAACAAAATTCTGAAAATCCTAATTCTCTTGCTGGAATAGTAACTGAACCCTCTTAGGGCAACTTTACCCTCAGCTGTAATCCCTGGGAGTTTATCCTTCATCCTTCCCATGGCTCCGGCATAGACCTGAAGACAGTAACTCACATCGCTGAAAACCTCCAGATGGATGACATCTATTCCAATGGGCCTTTACCTCCCCAATTGTGGGTGAATCACGAAATGATTGCCACCAAAATATCTCAAGCCACTTCCAATCCCACTCATTCCTCTTGCTGCATTATCTGGCCAGCACCCGACTCTGGAACAATCCCATTATCTACCTTCTCCTTCTGCAGGCTGCTGAGTCCTGATAGGAACCATAAAATCCCACAGGATAAGCAGCACGAGAGGCTCTTTCTACACTTTTCACATAATGCGCCACATGCTGAATCCTGCCCGGGTTTGAGATGATAATAAAATATTAGTTATGAAAAATATTTCTAAGTTTTAAAATCGTATGGAAGAAACCAAATATAGTGACCAGCCATCCCATTTCTGACATTGTGGTTCACTCTATCATGCAATGTTTAAACTGGCACAGTAATTGCCCTTGCCCGCGATTCTCTACTCTCTGCTTATATTAAAGAGCTAGAGGCCCAGTGCACGAATTTGTGCATGGGTGGGGTCCGGCCGGCCTGCCCCAATCGGGCAGGGTCGGCTTGGGGGAGGGGACACGGGAGGTTGGCCGGCCAGCCCCGCCCCCAATCGAACTCCCTGTCAAACTCCCAGTTGAGGGGACAATTTGCATATTAGCCTTTTAATATATAGGATGGAGCCCAAAAAATGTTATCAGAACTCCCTAGAGTGAGCCAAGATGGCTGTCAGGGGAAGCGAGGGGAGGAAAAAGGAGGGAACTAAAAATTCAGTATGAGAATAAATTGATTTGATTTTTAAGAATGTCATCACATTAAAATCAAATTTAAAGGACACAAAAATACAACTTTCTGGAAACATAAGCTCATATTAGAGAATACTCTTCAAAATGACCCATTCTCTTCAAAAATCTAGATCAAGAAACAAAGTAGAGAGAACTATTCCACATTAAAGAAGATTAAAAAGTCCACGTATGACCCTGGATTGGATTCTGGACAGAGAACTATTCCACATTAAAGAAGATTAAAAAGTCCATGTATGACCCTGGATTGAGAAAAGAATAGTTAGGAAGGTATTATTGGGATAAGTGATGAAATCTGAATATGGATTATCAACGAGATATTTAATTGTAATTGTATCAATGTTAAATCTCCTGATTTGAGATCTGTACTATAGTACAGAGGCCAACTAACCATTCTCTCAAAATGGTTGGCCTCTGCTCACATGTGTATGTGAATGCTGACACTGACCATAAGCTTACTGTAAAAAGTTTAACTTCTAAATGTCAGATTGAAGATTGGAGAAATGTGTATAGGAATAAGCCAACAATCTGAACCCCCTTAGTTTGGAGAGAAGATGAATGGATATCAATGTAGTGGCGGGATCAGCAACTAGGTCCCTATCTGACTTGTGCCTGTTTTTGTAAATAAGAGGGGACTTTAAAAAATTGATTGATTTCAGAGAGGAAGGGAGAGGGAGAGGGAGAGAGAGAAAAACATCAATGATGAGAAAGAATCATTGATCGGCTGCCTCCTGCATGCCCCACACTGGGGATCAGGCCCATAATCCAGGCATGTGCCCTTGACTGGATTTGAACCTGGAACCCTTCAGTCCGCAGGCCACTGCTCTACCCACTGAGCAAAACCAGCTAGGGCTAAGATGGCACTTTTAAGAAACAAAATAATCCAAGCTGAATTAAGTGTGGTAATTAAAACAAAAATTACTATTTTTTAATTGTCCAGTCAAGTTTAGGCTTACAGGAGAAAAATTAAAATAAGGTCTTGTGAAGAAATGGGTATTAAGGAAAAATGGAATAAAACAGTAAAGCCCCACAATTGAGAAATCAGAAAACTTGAGTGCAGCTTTTGTCACATCACTTAAGGTCTCTAGGCCTCAGTTTTCTGATCAATGAAATAGGAATAATACTTTTATCTACCTTGCATGGCTGTGATGGAAAGTAATGAGATACTATATATAAATGCTCTGAGAATTAGAAAGTATTTCATAAATATAAGATGAGGGCAATGGCAAGAGAAAAAGATAGGTAGCTGCCTATATGATAAATTAGGCACAAAATTCCTTTTCAACCTCTCCTCTCCTGAGGGCGAGGTCAAGGCTGCAGTTAAGGAGCTGTCCAGAGCAAATGCCCAAGGGGACCGACTGCATCTTGAAAACTTAAGACATTCTCCACTGCTGCCGGTTTTATCCTTTTATTTTGGTACTAGAAGCGAGAGGTCAAGTAGGGGTTTCTAAAAAAAATGGATTTGATCTCATTTGTTTAGACTGTAAAGATCATCATTCCAATCACATGATCCCAATGAATTAGAACAAAGATTAGCAACCTCTATAAAGGCCAGATACTAAATACCTTGGGCTGTGCAGACCACATGGACTCTGCCCAAACAACTCAACTCTTGTTAGTAACAGCTGACTGAATTGCCTCTGAGGTCATGAAAACGGCAAGATGATTCTTAAATATTCATATTCTTAACAATGAGATATGCAATAAAATGAGGCGATAGGGGGTAACTAGTTCAATGAACTTTCCAGGAATACTTAAGAGATAAGGCCTATCAATCAAATCAGGATACAATCTGGCATTAAGAATCAGAATCTAGCCGGGCTGGCGTGGGTCAGTGGTTGAGCATCGACCTATGAACCAGGAGGTCACAGTTCGATTCCTGGTCAGGGCACATGCCCTGGTTGCAGGCTGAATCCCCAGTGAGGGGTGTGCAGGAGGCAGCCAATTCTCTGTCATCATTGATATTTCAATCTCTCTCTCTCCCTTCCTCTCTGAAATCAATAAAAATATATATACTAGTGTGTGTGTATAAAATCAGAATCTAAAATTTCTTTTTTTTTTAAATAATTTTTTAAAAAATATATTTTATTGATTTTTTACAGAGAGGAAGGGAGAGGGATAAGGAGTTAGAAACATCGATGAGAGAGAAACATCGATCAGCTGCCTCCTGCACACCCCGCACTGGGGATGTGCCCACAACCAAGGTACATGCCCTTGACTGGAATTGAACCTGGGACCCTTGAGTCCGCAGGCCGACGCTCTATCCACTGAGCCAAATCGGTCAGGGCAGAATCTAAAATTTCTAACTGGTCACCCTTTTAGAGTATCCTACAAAAAAGCAATGTAGCTAATATGAGGAAAGTGAGATATACCAAAGAATATTTAAAATAAAATGTAAAGAAACAGAATACCCCCCCCCCAATAAATACCACATAAAATTGAAAATAGAGAAAGTGCATACAAAATATTGCCAATGTTAATTATCTATGGAAATAACAAAAAAAAGAACATTCCGATTTTACTAGGTAGTAATTAGTTCTAACCATGTTGATACTTTTGCTAGTGTCAACTAAGTAGCAAAATGACCTTTAATTCCACCTCCACCCTTCCATATAAAAAAAGGATCTAGACATATTTCATCTGAATTTACACTCAATTCAAGAAGGATGATACTACTGAAGGTATGAGTAGCATACTGAATACTGGGGCCTTTTAACTTCATAACACCAATATGCCACATATACTTATTTCTGGGTTAAACAGCGCTATTACTTAGCTCTGAGTATGTTGCTATATAATTATTCATTCTTTTCAAATCTGGAAGTTTTATAAAGTTTTCTCATGAAACATTTCTCAAATAAAACAAAACCCAGCTTGTCCCTCCTACTCTACGCCCCCCGATCCCCCCCACCCCCCGCTAAATTATAACAATCCTGAAGGCAGGACAATACTTATCTTGTTCATTGCTGCGGTATCTCTGGCATCTTAACAAAAAGTAAAAGTTCAAAAGTTTTTTTCTTGAATATGAACTCTTAACAGGCTTCTCTAAAGAACAGCAGGGTTCCTACTGTATATTTCATAATTAACATTTTAAATATAAAGAACACACAAATGACTCATATTTCTATTAGATACTGTACAGAAAGAAGCTATACAAATCCATCCACAAAAACTCATTCCAGGGAATTAGGAACAATTCTGACATTTAAAAATCACTGTAACTTTATAATGAAGTTTACATAGTACAATCCAGCTGTTGTAAGTAAGCAATTCTATTTTACCTTTCCTGGGATGAAGCAACAGAGATTGGAATCCACATACTTCATGAAGGTCATATTTAATAGTGAAAGCCTTGTTTCGACGGCAGCAAGGATGTCTGCATGACGAGCTAATGAATGGTTTCTCCTTTCTGACTCTCTCCTATAATTACAAAAGCAACCTTTAAAGATGCGCTGTAGACTAAAGCGTTAAACAATCAAAACATCTTAATGAAACAACCTAACATTTACATGTCCAATTAGAAATCTACAACAGGATCATAATTCAACTGTAAGGATAAATAAATCATGTCCAGAAATCTTTGCTAACGACTAGCACTTACTGACAAAATACTTAGAAAAAAAAAATTATGGGCTTTTTTGGTCTATATCAAGCCTAATGGCTGTTAGAATCAGAGAAATTAGAAAAATAAAAGAATTACGCTTGGACATATAGAGATTGTATCTTTTGGCCCATAAAACGAACTCATTTAAACTTTTTAAAGTTTTATTAAGAAATAATTCACATATAATAAAAACCACGTTTAAAATGTACAATTGAGTGGTTTGGGTGTATTCAGAGTTGTGGACCCATCGCCACCTCTATTTTAGACCAATCTCATTACTACAGAAAGCAAGCCCACGCACAGCATCAGTCACTCCCATTCCCCAGCCTCTGGCAACCACTAGTCTTTTTTCTGTTTCTATGCATTTGCCTAATCTGGACATTTCAGATAACTGGATTTGTGCAGTATGTGGCATTCTGGGTACATCTCTCATTTAGCACAGTTATGGCCAAATAACATTCTATTACATGTTATATCATTATTTTTGTTATCAGTTGTTGGACTTTTGGGTTGTTTCTACCTTTTGGCTGTTATGAATAATGCTGCCGCGAACATTCATATCTAAGCTTTTGTGTTGATATAGTTTAATTTCTCGATTCTATACCTAGGAGTGAAATTGCTGGGTCAAGTGGTAACACTATGCTTAGCTTTTTGAGGAACAAGTTGCTTTCTAAAATGGCTGCACTATTTTATAATTCCCTCAGTAATTTATGAACGTCCCAGTTTGCCCACACCCTTCCCGCGCTGTCTGTCTTTTTTATTTGAGCCATGATACTCAGTGTGAAGTGGTGTCTCAGCGTTGGATTCGCAATGCCCTGATGACTAAGGATGCCGAGCACCGTTCACGGCTGCAGACTTTAGCATGTCTTCTCTGGAGTGAAATTGCTGGGTCAAGTGGTAACACTATGCTTAGCTTTTTGAGGAACAAGTTGCTTTCTAAAATGGCTGCACCATTTTATAATTCCCTCAGTAATTTATGAATGTCCCAGTTTGCCCACACCCTTCCCGCACTGTCTGTCTCTTTTAGTATTTGAACCATCCTACTCAGTGTGAAGTGGTGTCTCAGCATTTGATTTGCAATGCCCTGATGACTAAGGATGCCGAGCACCATTCACGGCTGCAGACTTTAGCATGTCTTCTCTGCAGACACGTCTATTCAGATCCTTTGCCCATTTTTAAACTGGCTCGTCCCTTTGGTGTTGAGTTCTAAAAGCGTCTCATAAATCTGGACACAAGTCCTTTATTAGCTGCACATATTTTCTCCCAAACTGTAGGTTGTCTTTTCACTTTCTTCATGTTGTCCTTTGAGGCGAAGCAGTTTTAAATGGTGATAAAGTCCAGTTTGCCTTTTTCTGCTGCTGCTTGTGCTTTCGGTGTCATACCTACGAAGCCAGTGCCTAACCCAGGTTCATCTGAGGTTTTACAGCAGAGCACTGACATTTACAGGTATGTGGTGTGACGGAGTCCAACTTGATTCTTTTGTGTGTAGCTACCCAGTTGTCCCAGCATCATTTGTTGAAAACATTATTCTTTCCCCACTGAACTGTGTTGGCATTCTTGTTAAAAATCAACTGTTAAAATCAGAGGTTTATTTTACGGACTCTCAGTTCTAGTCCACTGCTCTCTATGTGTGTCCTTGCGTCAGTACCACATTGTTTTATTACAGCTTTGTAGTAAGTTTTGAAATTGGAAAGTGGTAGTCCTCCAACAACTCTGTTCTTTCTCAATTGTTTTTTATTATTCTGAGTCTTTTGTATTTCCCGAGAAATAGTAAAATCAGCTTACCAATGTTTTCAAAAAGGATAGCTAGGATTTTGTCGGGGTTGCATTAAATGTACAAATCAGTTTAGGGAGTATTGCCATCTCAACAATAGAAAATCTTCCAATCCCTCAGCATGGAATGTCTTTCCATCTAATTCTCTTTAAATTCTTTTAACAATGTTTGGCAGTTTTCAGTGTACAAGTCCTGCATTTGTTTTGTAATATTTATTACTAAGTATTTTATTCTTTTCAATGCTCTTGTAAATGGGATTGCCTTCTTAACTTCATTTTTGGATTGTTTATTGCTAGTGTATCCAATTACAGAATTGATTTTTGTATATCAATCTTGTATCCTATATCCCTACCCAACTCATTTATTAGCTCTAATAATTAATTAGTGTGTATTCCTTATGTATAAGGTTCTATACATACAAGATCATGTCATCTGTGAACAGAGAGAGGAACTCCTTCTTTTCAACGAGAACGTCTTTTATTTCATTTTCTTGCCTAACTGCCCTGGCTAGAACCTCCAGTAAAATGTTGAACAGAAATGACGAGAGGGAGCAAACTATAGTAAAGTATCTCTTATTGAGATCTGGGTACCCCTTTACTACAAATGACTATTTAACAAATAACACATAATATATTTTAAATACTGATACTAAGAGTAATTCTTTTCTCTCTCTCTCATAACACCCAAGCAAAATCAAGAAACACACCAACAAAATCCCCAGCTGTGAAGCACTGCCATTGCTGGCCATGACACACCTTGGGAGCTGTGCTTTGACTTGTTTCTGACACAGATTATGGTACCTCTCCACTTTTAGAAATCCCTGATTCAACATTCTCTGGCAGACCAAGTCCATTCTTTTACAGACCTACAGGGAGAGAGGAGGAGAAAGAAGAATTTTAGAAAGTAATAATCAAATTAATGACAGACAATTAACTTAAGACTCATAACTGAACACTGTAAGTTCTCTGTGCTAGTATTGTTCCCATTTACGGTCTGAATCCTTTGATCATATGTGGGTGAACCCCTCATACTTCGCAATTCTGACAATAATGCATTAAAAATTAATATGTGTAGGCAAGGTAAACTTATCTTTTTAAAAAATATATTTTTATTGATTTCAGAGAGGAAGGGAGAGGGAGAGAGAGATAGAAACATTAATGATGAAAGAGAATCATTGATTGGCCGCCTCCCGCAACCTCCCTAACTCCCACTGGGGATACAGCCTGCAACCTGAGCATGCGCCCTGACCAGAAATGGAATCATGATCTCCAGGTTCATAGGTCAATGCTCAACCACTGAGCCACACCTGTGGGGGAGAAAACTGATCTTTTAATTTAGGTATTTGTTAATAGTTCTAAATGTATCCCCACTAATATGGTCAGAAAATGTAGTCCTGAAGATCAATCAAACAATATATTCAAAGGTTTTTAATGGTTTGAAACAAGGGAAATTCTTAGATAAAAATGTATATTCAGCCCTAGCTGGTTTGGCTCAGTGGATAGAGCCTGTGGACTGAAGGGTCCTGGGTTCGATTCCAATCAAGGGCACATGCCCGGGTTGTGGGCTCGATCCCCAGTAGGGGGTATGCAGGAGGCAGCCGATCAATGATTCTTTCTCATCACTGATGTTTCTCTCTCTCCCTCTCTGAAATCAATAAAAATATATTTAAAAAATATGTATATTCGAGCTAGAGTCCAACCTCTCACAAAGTTTATATGACCTGTAACTGAATGAGAATTCCTACTCATTTCTACTAGTGATTTGGGTTAACTATAGACAGTTTCTCTATTCCAGATACTATGATGTCCTCCAAAATATCTTAACATGTGTAACAGACTCTCAACTATTTTGAATCTTTAAGGAATATGATGTTTATATACAGTAAGAGCACAGGATCAAAACACCTAGATTTGAGTCCAATCTCTATGCTCTCTTGAGCAAGTCAGCTACCATTTGAAACCTGAGCCAGCCACCTGTAAAATGTGGATAGTATCTAACTCAGGACATCATGAGGATTAAATGAAACAATACATGCTAAATCATTTGGTAAACTCTAAAGTGTTACATAAAAACTATGTTAAATAAATTTTAACTAAGTACTAATTTAAAAACTATGCTCTATATACTTAGTTTATGTTTCTGAGCTATCTCAGCATCTTTCTTAATGAGACCTAGTACTTAGTATCTGTTTGTTTGTTCTTTGATCCCGGACAATTTTGCAGTGACTCAGAACATTAATTCTCATTGTACAGATGTTGATGGTGACAGATAAATCTATATCAAGTTCAAGTCAATCAGGCACGGGCTGTCTTATACTTTTTTCTCTCTCTCATAACACCCAAGGACAAATGTTTGACAAATACTTGCTGAAACTACTGATACAAGTTTGCTTCCTCCTGGGAATACAGGGACAAATAAATTCAAACTGGTTATGCTAATAAAAGCATTAGTACTCTTAATATTAAATAATAGATACTTCCTAAATCACATGTCAAATGAAAGGTATTAAGGAAAACAGTTCTTTTCATCTATATTTTTTGACTATATATTTATTGACTTCAGAGAGGGAGGGAGAAGAAGATAGAAACATCAATGGTGAGAGAGAATCACTGATTGGCTGCCTCCTGCACGTCCCTACTGGGGATCTAGCCCACAACCCGGGCATGTGCCCTGACTGGTAATCAAACCGTGACCTCCTGGTTCACAGGTCAATGCTCAACCACTCAGCCACGCCGGCCAGGCTATAAAGCCTCCTTTTTTAAAAAAAAAATATTTTTATTGATTTCAGAAAGGAAGGGAGAGGGAGAGAGAGAAACATCAGTGATGAGAGGGAATCATTGATTGGCTGCCTCCTGCACGTTGGACCGAGCCTGCACCTGGGCACGCGCCCCTGACCAGACCGAACCCGGGACCCTTCAGTCCACAGGCCGATGCTCTATCCACTAAGCCAAACCAGCGAGAGCCAGAAGCCATCCTTTTAAGGTAGTACCTTCTTCAACATTGTAAGAATCCACAGCTCTCAGTTTACCAGGACATACAGTTATATCTGGTCTCTTTTTTTTAAATGAAATGATGATAAGAGAGAGAAGCTATTGCTGTTTAACATCCTTACTTGCTTCCCCCACAAGTTGTCAACCCCAGAGGTTCTCAAAAACAGTTTCTTAAATCTGACAAGTCTGTGAAATAAAATGGTAGAAAGCAGGAGGGAGTCTGCTCACTAGTCTAGGACATCTAAAACGTCACACATCCAAAACCAATCTCATTTTAATCTAAGTCCCCTTCTGCAATTACTTTGTTCCACTCTATGTCTGTTGTTGTTTTTTTGTTTTTTCTGAGAGGAACATTCTTCTACTTTACTCCCTGGATAAAACCCCATTATCTTGAAGAAGCCTGTCCAGATAAACCCTCCCGATGACCCCGACACCCTTGTACGTATCTGCTTGTGCGTGTTGTCCTGCGCTAAGTGCTCAAGGAACACTGCTTCCGTGAAGAGACTGGACAGCGTTCCTGACTGAACCCTTCACTCTCAGACTAGAATCTATAGAAAGAAGGAACTATCCCCCAAATATTACAATCTCTTACTTGAACTTAAGCACCTCCTAAAAAAATCAATTACCTGGTGATGAGATTGTAAAGAAAAAAGGAAAAGCAGCAATAAAGAGAGTGTATTCTCTATGACACAGCAAGAGGAGCAGTGGTTCCCAAAGTGTGGTCTAGGGAGGGACCCCTGGGCTTCCCAAGATACTTTCATGGGTTTGGGAGGCCAACTATTTGCATAATATTAAGATGTTATCTGCCACGTTCACTCTCAATTCTCTCACAACATACAGTGGAGTTTTCCAGAGGCAACACATCTGAGGACACTGTTCTGACAGCTGATATACTGTATATTCTTGTGCTTTCTAGAAATTCCTAAGGTAAGCTCTGAGGGTCCTCAGCAACTTTTAAGATTGTAAAGGTGTCTCAAAACAAAAAAGTTGAGAACCACTGACACAGAGCAAGCAATATGAAGAAGACAGCTTGCCTGGTTAAAAAAAAAATAATAATAATAATGGTTTCTCATTTTCCTTTAAATTTCCTACCAATCAACCCTCTCTATGACTGAAATTTTCTAACAATGGAAGAAAAGAATTACAAATGGGTAACAGATTTAACTAGTTAGAGTGCTCTTGAGAAATACCTTGGGACAAAAGCATGTATTTATGTATTTTGTTATCAACGGAAAAGTTTCATTCCAATTGATAATGTGCAAGACTTCTGAATCCAACCTTCAGGAAAACGTACGTCCTGAGCCACTAATAGGATTCCATTCCATTTACAGGCACTCCACTTGCCCCCCCACCCCCGAATATCCAATAGGATCCCCTAAAACCTCTCAGAAAGCCTCCCCTGCACCCGAGTCAGTGCTGTCCTCTCCAAGTGGCTTTACTCTGCTCCCCAACTCCTTGACCTTTGCCTCTAGTTTCAAAAACTCTCATGCCTGTCACAGGGACCTGGGTGACAGTCTACTGCTGCATCAGCACAAATTTGTCTGATTTGCTAGAAAAACAACTCAAAGTACAGGTTTGGTCAGTACAAAAGCTGAGTCCAGCCAAATAATTTTAAATACACTAGAGGAATTAAATACTTAAAGTTAAGTACTTAAAATCCTGTGTAACCAGGATTTCCAAGCTCTGGGTACATTTCTGGAGCAACTCGATGGCAGAAAAACAAACAAAGGACTTAAGAAGGCACCTGGGCAGTCCTTTGGAAGTGACTGGACTGGGGAGTCCAATTTCATTATTCACGGCAGCAGGAGGCAAAGCTTGTGATCAACCTAAGTGCACAAATCACTGAAAAATGTTACGATTGCAATTTCAACGTAGAGCAAATCTTTTAAAGAAAATATAGAGTCCTAAGTACCTGTTGTGTGCCTGTTCTCTAATCTAGATGCTAACAGAATGATGACTGAGGTCCTAATCAGGCAAGTCAACTGGGAAGGAGGAAAAACAAACTCCTGAACCATACGTCAACTAGCCAATACGCCCGAGTAGCTGACATTTAGCTTAGGAAACCAATTCCTTCCAACCACATCCAGCCTAATTCCCCTAAAAAAATAACAAAAGGAACTATGTAATCTCTATGCTTCATAACACCATACGTACTAAAGTTCCTGGATTTTTTGGCAAACAATTCTTCAGGTACGAATGCCACTTACATAGAAGAGGCATGTGTGGCACCTCCCAGGCATTGGCTCTAGACTGCCAATTTCATGTGAAGGGCATAATTAAATTTAATGCTGACATCTAGTGGCTAGAAAGAACATCTTGCTTTTCTAACGTTAACCAAATTGTACCCTATGACACCAAACCAAAGAATCTAAAACTAAAGGCATCTCCAACCCCCCGAAAAGATGATGCATTTAATCCAGCGGTTCTCAACCTGTGGGTCTCGACCCCTTTGGCGGTCGAACGACCCTTTCACAGGGGTCGCCTAAGACCATCCTGCATATCAGATATTTACATGACGATTCATAACAGTAGCAACATTACAGTTATGAAGTAGCAACGAAAATAATTTTATGGTTGGGTCACAACATGAGGAACTGTATTTATAGGGCCAGGAGGTTGAGAACCACTGATTTAATCTAAGAATTATCCATTAACCTCAAGTAAAGAAAGGAGTGAGTTCCCTTTTGCTAAAGCGGAGAAAAAACATCTCAGAGGTAAAACTGGCTGTAGCCTCTTGGGGTGAGGGGTTGGGAGGGTTGGTGAGGAAGGGCTCCGTGTGAAACAATCTTTGAAACTACAAATCTGTATCCTTAAAAGGCTAGAACAGATAGTTGCTTAAAGATGAACAATGCGACTGAATATTTCACTCGGAAGAAATGTCACTTGATAAATTGTGGGGTGTGTTTTAACTGTCCCCTAGAATGGGCCGGTTCCTCCCCCCCTTTAAAAATGTTTTTAATTTTTAAAAAAGTAAAACAACAAAAGAACAAAAACCCCCCCGTTTTCCTCAACACTTGTATGAAACAGAACCGTGACCGC